TTCCCTGGCAGCTCTCTGCTTCCCTCCAACCTCTCCAGCTGAGGCTGCTCCAGGGTGCTGGAGCTCTGGGCTGCTCTTCTAGGCAGGAGGAACATGCACGGGTGGGGTTTGAGCTCTGGTGTGTCACCAGTTGCCTGGGGCCCACCTGGCATTGTTCCATCCTGGCCCTCGGAGCTGTCTTGAAAATATGGAAGGTACTTGGATGAGCATTTTTGCCTGAACCTCCCTCGTACTTAGCAACAAAAATGCTTCAATTCACAAACTCCAACTTGTTACATCATCTAGTTTTTCTTTATTCTGGCTTTTCAGAGGGTTTCAGGCTGCATAGTGACAGGCGCATCAAAAAAGAGCTTTTTCAAACCCTTCATGAGCTTTCCTGTCATCCCTGTGAGATTCCAGAGTGGCTGGGATTGCGAGGGACCTCTGGAGATCACCTTGTCCAACCCCCGACTCAGGCAGGATCACCTGGAGCAGGTGACACAGAAACATGTCCAGGTGGATTTGCAATGTCTCTAGAGAGGGAGTCTGTGCTCTCCTGGGCAGCTATTCAAGTGCTATGCCACCCTCTGTGGAAAGTTCTTCCCCAGGTTGAGGTGGAACTTGTGGTTTAGTTTGTGGCCATTTTAGATCTTGCTGTGCTTCCCTCCTCTCTCTTTAGAGGTGTTCACCTCCTTCCCTGCTGGTCAAAAAAAATCCCTAACAAAGAGAAGTGGGAGGAGAGTCGAATCCAAGTGCTGGAAATCCCTTCCCTGGAGCTTAGGTGGTGCAGTTCTCCCCCAGGTGCCTCATGCCTGTGGGAATGATCCAGGCCTGTCACATCCCAGGTTGCTCAGAGCACATGTGGCTGCCCCATCCCTGGAAGTGTTCCAGGCCAGGTTGGATGGGACTTGGAGCAACCTGGACGAGTGGAAGGTGTCCCTGCCCGTGGCAGAGGGTGGGTTGGAATGATCCTTATCTCTCTGTCTCCAGTGTCGCTGGCAGGAGCAGACAGTGTCACATGCCTGTGTGAGGCTGAATAAATTCAAGCACTAAGGTTTTATCTTACTGAAGTAACTTCCAACCAGTGACATCTGGAATGTGCACTCTATGTGTTCTTCCATCAGCCATTCCCAAATCTGTCACAGACATGAATCTTCATATATCCCTGGGATTTCAGTGAATATGTCCCTGTTTCCCATGTGGGGACATATATCTGTGTTCTTGGCTCAGGGGGAGGCAGCTTGGGAGAAGCATCACAGAGCAGTCAGGGTTAGAAGGGGCTCTGGAGGTCATCTAGTCCAATCCCCAAATCTCAAGGATGGGAATCCCAAGAGTGAGTCTTATTTCTGAGCTCTGCTGGAAGCCATGCCACGAGCAATTTACACAGTTCAGATGTTGCAGTAAGAGCTGTAGTACCTACTCAAAGGTGTGTACAGGCAACAGGATCTGTTTTAGTCTTTAATGCCACTAGCCCAGGTTGCTCCAAGCCCCTTTCATACTGGCCTGGAACACTTCCAGGGATCAGGCAGCCACAGCTGCTCTGAGAAACCTGTGCCAGTGCCTCACCACCCTCACAGCCAAGAACTCCTTCCCGACATGCCATCTTTCCAATATTTGAAGACAGTATGATGGAAGTTCTTGCTCTGCTGAAGGCAAGAACCCCTGAGAGCAGAGCCACGAGTGAGCAGTGTTGTACCCCAGTGTCCCTAGCAGTGAGGAGTGTTGGAATCAGGACTCATCAGTTTATGGGGAAATGAAACAATTACATGTTTCTTGGCTCTTCCTTGCCCTCTGTGGGGATGGATTAAAAACATGGATTGGAGGCAGCACATAGAGCTTTTCCTACATCACAAATCCTGTTCCATATTCATGACTAGATCAGATTGCAGGTAGATGCTGGTGTTGATGTAGATACCAGCAGGTCTGCCCTGACCAAGGCCTGAGGAGGACAGTGCAGTCTGAGATATCTCTAGATTTTATCTTTCTTCCATCAGAAATTTCTCTTGTTCTTCCCCTCATTTTCATGCCCTTTGCTCTTCCATGCACTTCATGTGCTTTCCCATCTTTTGGGCATGTTTATAAACCCTAAAGTGAAAAATAAACCCAACAAAATAAGAAGAAAGTCACTGGACATTCAAAATCAGCCCTGAAGCATCTGTGTATTGCTGTGTCCTGGGTTTTGGGAGTTGCTTGTCCTTCAGGATGGGAGTGGTTGGCTGCTTCCCCTCCACAGGAACATAAACTGGTTTTAACAATGGAAAAAACAAATCCTGAGTTCTTAACTGACCTTCCTATGGCCACCATCAGGCACCTGTCCTGTGACACCTTCTCAGAGGCCTTGGGCAACCGTGAGCCAGCTGGGAGCTGTGCACGGACTGACACTGTTGGATGAACTTCCCTCCTTCCCAGCCTCTCATGTGGTTTCCTTAGGGAAAGCCAAGGCTGCAGTGAGCAACAGGTACATAGGTAGCAGGAGGATCTGTAATAGAGGAGTTGACACATCTCCGCTGCACTTTCTTGGTGATGAAGAGGTTTTATTGGGGTGGAAATGTACTGGTGGCTGAGAACCAATGTGGTGGAGCAGCACACACCCATCTCCAGGGATGGGTTTGCAAAAAAATTGTTAAAATACTGATTTCCCCCCAAATTTCTGTGGTACAGAGCTGCTGTGTTAAATCTTTTGTGGCCTCAATCAGAGAAAGGGCATAACAGGGCCCAGAAGTGCCTGATGCGGCACACTCAGCACTGACAGGACACCTGTGGGCATGGCCAAAGGGTGATTTTGCAGACAGATCTGGGAATTTAGGTCATTCACCTTTCCCAGCTGTTCTCCCAACCCTCTCCTGCACATTGTTGCTCCCAGAGCTCTGTCAGCAGTGAGTGGGAAGCCCTGAGGTCTGATCCACATGGCTGGGGGTGACCTGGATGAGGGAGTAGTGTGCTCACCAGGTGTGTGGGTTGTGCCAGGTGGGGAGAGCAGTGGCTGTGGATGACACACTTGGATGGGTTGGGAAGATGGATTGCCTGGAGCCTCAAAGGCACAGCACTTCCCTGAAAGTGTTCCAGGCCAGGTTGGATGGGGCTTGGAGCAAGCTGGACCAGTAAAGTTGTCCCTGCCCGTGGCAGATGTGTCTGGCAGTAGCCTGGTTCTAAGGGTGAATCTTCAACCAGAGAAGTGTCACAACTGCTTCTGAACCCAGTGGGTTCTGGGCTGGGGCATGTCCAGCCTCTCACCCACCAGTACCCCCAAATCCTTCTCCTTAGGGCTGCTCTCCATCCATCGCTCCCTCCCTTCCTCCCACGCCAGCCTATGCTGATCCCACATGGCTCCTGGAGGGTTTTGGCCATTCCAGCTCAGTCGCTCTGATTTTAAATGATTCAAGATCTACCAAAGCTGTTTGTTGTGACTCCTCCAATCCCACAAGTGACTGCACAGGGATCCACCTCTGCAGAAGCTCCTTGTGTGAATCTCAAGTGTTTTCCTTACACTTCTGGACACATTCATCAATATCAAAATCATTTAGGAAAAAAATCCTCCCTCCTCAATCTGTTCCATCATTTTGGTTATCAAACAAAATGATTTTGTTTTATTTTGTTGTTCCTTTTCCTCTTTCCTCATATTGCACAAGGAAATGATATTAGATGTTGTATTTCTGTCAGACCCATAAAAATCAAATCTGCCAAATATGCTTCTGTTTCCAACATTCCTTTTCATCCTTTTGTTGTTCCCTCTGAGGCCTCATTGCCTGTTCCCTCCTTGGCCTTTGATGATCCAAGCTAATCCCTGATGAAGTGGGTAGAGTATTGCATGAGAACAATTCCAAGGCCTTTGTATTTATTCTGGCCATATTGCCAGAAAAACCTGCTATAAACAGGAAAACATACCAGGAACTGTAAGGCGACAAGAAGAGGAAGTTCTGTTCTCTGGTTCACTTTGATGCTGGAACCATCAATGGCTCTGTATCAGCAGCTTTGCTTTTCCCACCAGGTCCATTCTGGTTTGCTTTAAAGCCCTTTGGAGCTGAAAACCGTGTTCTAGGCTCTTGGAACCCTCAGTTTCTTGACTTTCAAACAGTTTGAGGTGCTGTAATCACCTGAGGGTTGTAGTGTCAAAGCACCAAGAAGATCAATATTTCATCATTGTTTTGGTGTCTCATTGCTGATCTTCAAAGTGCTTTGGGGTCCAATGAAGTTATTGACAAATATTGTAAATACTTTCTCAGTGAGGAAAATGAGGAGATTATAAAGGGCTTGGGGCAGGGAAGCAGCTGTTGGAATGCACTAGGATTGTGTGGGATACATGACAACTGAGCCAAGGCCTCACTCGATGCTTTTAGCTCAACTGACTGAGGTAATGGAGGAATTCAGGTGAGATCCTGCAAGAACACCCGTTCTTTCTCTCCCAGGACTTTTAGTTATCCCTTTCCAAGGGAGAAATACTCTTGGACACCAAACAGGTTGCCTGGGAGCGGTGTCCTGTCCTGCACAGCTCAGCTTGTGCTGTAGTGAGCCCATTTCTCATGGCTCAACCATTTCTCGAGCTCTTCTTTGTTAAAAAACCCCAAATCCCAATGTTTCCTGCGTCTCTCCTCTACCCAGCTACCCTCTGCTGAAGCTGCCTCTGCCAGGGACGGGCCCTGTGGAGTACAGCACCCCTGTAAAGGACTACTCTCCCCCCTCTCCTGACGTGAGGCTGCAGCAAGGGGACTCCAACGAGCGTCCTGACTGGGTGAGTCTTCCTGGGGGGCCAGGGCAGGTCCATGGTGTGAGGAAACATCTCTGCTCTGCTACCTGTGTGCTGCTCTGAGCAGTTTTGTGGCCCGGAGCAGTTGTGACTTCCTCTTCCCTGGAAGCGTTCAAGGTTGGATGGGGCTCGAGCAACCTGGGCTAGCAGGAAGTGTCCCTGCCCATGGTAGGGGTGGAATCAATGGAATTTAAGGTAGTTCCAACTCAGCCCAGCCTGGGATTCCATGGCAATATTTCTGGTGATGTGGCTTTGTGTAACTGGGAAATTCAGGCTGTGTTTGGCTTTTATTAGTCAGATGTGAGGTGTTGGGATGAGTTAAAAGCTCTGAGACGGTTTCAGAGCCCGTTTTTCAAGAGTAACTGTCTAAGGGAAGGAGGATGCTTTTTAAAGCATCCTGAGCTTTTAAATACAACAGCACAAGGATGTGGAGCTGCAGGAGCAAGTCCAGGGAAGGCCACAAAGATGCTCCAAGGGCTGGAGCCCCTCTGCCATGGAGCCAGGCTGGGAGAGCTGGGTGTGTTCAGCCTGGAGAAGAGAAGGCTCCAGGGAGGCCTTAGAGCCCCTTCCAGTGCCTCAAGGGGCTCCAAGAGAGCTGCAGAGGGACTTTGGAGAAGGAACTGGAGGGACAGGACAAGGGAGTCAGGTTCTGTTCCCAGGGAACAAGAGACAGGACAAGAGGAAACAACTTCAAGCTGTGCCGGGGAGGTTCAGGTTGGACTTCAGGAGGAATTTCTTCCTGGAGCCAGGGAGGCCTTAGAGCCCCTTCCAGTGCCTCAAGGGGCTCCAAGAGAGCTGCAGAGGGACTTTGGAGAAGGAACTGGAGGGACAGGACAAGGGAGTCAGGTTCTGTTCCCAGGGAACAAGAGACAGGACAAGAGGAAACAACTTCAAGCTGTGCCGGGGAGGTTCAGGTTGGACTTCAGGAGGAATTTCTTCCTGGAGTGTCAGGTTTTTCAAGAGTAACTGTCTAAGGGAAGGAGGATGCTTTTTAAAGCATCCTGAGCTTTTAAATACAACAGCACAAGGATGTGGAGCTGCAGGAGCAAGTCCAGGGAAGGCCACAAAGATGCTCCAAGGGCTGGACCCCCTCTGCCATGGAGCCAGGCTGGGAGAGCTGGGTGTGTTCAGCCTGGAGAAGAGAAGGCTCCAGGGAGGCCTTAGAGCCCCTTCCAGTGCCTCAAGGGGCTCCAAGAGAGCTGCAGAGGGACTTTGGAGAAGGAACTGGAGGGACAGGACAAGGGAGTCAGGTTCTGTTCCCAGGGAACAAGAGACAGGACAAGAGGAAACAACTTCAAGCTGTGCCGGGGAGGTTCAGGTTGGACTTCAGGAGGAATTTCTTCCTGGAGAGGGCTGTCAGGCATTGGAAGGGGCTGCCCAGGGAGGTGATGGAGTCACCCTCCCTGGAGGTGTTCAAGGAACAACTGGAGGTGGCACTGAGTGCTCTGGTCTAGTTGACAAGGTGGTGATGGGTCACAGGTTGGACTCGATGGTCTTGGAGGTCTTTTCCAACCTCAGTGATTCTGTGAAATTCCTTGTAGGCTTAATAGTCTTGGTGGCTCTAGCTCTCTGTATGCTCTTCCCACTGTGAGGTCATTTGCTGCCTCCTGCACCCCCAGGTGCCCCTGGAGCACACAGCAGATCCACACAGGACCATTGGGGTTGGAAAAGACCTTCAAGAGCATCAAGGCCAACCTTTCACACAGGTTGAGGGATCTGCAGCGCTGTGAGAGGCAGCAAGTCCCTGCTCCTGCCTTCCCTTCTGGGACCAAACCCAGCAGGACCATTCCTCTGTCTCACACAGCAGCTCCCTAGGCTGCTGCCAAAACCATCAGTGGCATTTTGCCTCTTGGAGAAACAGACTCTGTTTGTTCTTGCTCTGTCAGCGCTGTCATGTTCCACCTCTGACTTGGGAAGGGGAAACAGAGCCTGGCAGAGCCCTTCCTGAGGGGTTGCCAAGCTGTGCTGTGCTCCTTGTGAGAGCTTCCCACTCCCTGGGTGCCTCATTGTCCCTTTGGTTTTCCCTGCAGTATGTTGGTGCTCCTGTGGCCTACATCCAGCAGATCCTGGTGAAAGCCACTGTGTCCCCCTGGCACAAGAATTTCCTCGCTGTGGATGTGTTCCGCTCCCCCTTGTCCCGCGTCTTCCAGCTGGTGGAGGAGATCAGGAACCACGCCCTGAGGGACAGGTAAACCACTGCCTCAAGGTCTGATGAGCAGTTTTGGGTGGGGAAAATTATCTAGATTATAAGAAAATGAGAGGTCAGGACCTTAAACTCGTCCCATTCCACACCCTGCAGTGGTCAGGGACACCTTTCACTAGCACAGGTTGCTCCAAATCCTATCCAACCTGGCCTTGAACATTTCCATGGATGGACAACCTGTTAAAATCCTGGTTCTCTGCCCTGTCTGGGAGAAATTCCACTGTCTTCCCTCTGTGGTGGTTCCCCTGTCAGCAGCTTCATGACATTTTTCTAGCAGGAAACCTAACCTGCTTCTTTCTGCACCACAGTTTTGTGTCTTTTCTGTGAACTGAAGCATTTTCTGTGTGTGCTGTTGCACTAGAAGCTTTGCTGAGGCCCAAGGAGATGAGATAGGCTGTGCTTTCCCCTCCCAGGGTGTCAGGAATTTAAAGAAGAGACCACTCATGTTCTCTCCTGGAGAACCAAGAATGCTTTTTTTAATTACCTTAATTTACTCTGTGTTTTATTTTAATAAGTTTTCCATTGAGTTTCAAGTGTTTTTTTTGAGAATTCCATGTTTATGGAGCCCTTGTCCAAGCTCTTGGCTGGGTTTGCTGTCTAAGAGAGATTTCCCTCCTCATGCTCAGTGAGAGTAAAGGTGCTGAGAGTTGCCCAGATGGGCTAGAAATGGTGAGCTTGAAGTCACTGCTCATCTCTCAGCCTTCCAGCCAGGAATTTCCTTCATTTGTCCTGGGCATGGAAACTTTCATGCTTGCTCAGCTCTCCTTGCCTCATTCCTAAGGGTCTCTCTTGCTGATTTGTCCCGTTTTCAACCCATCCCTCGCTCCCACCTGCTGCGCTCTGGGGTCAGTTTTTAGCAGAGCCATTTTTGCTGTTAAGTACAGATTTGCTCTCTTTGTTTCTCTTCCCTGCCAGCTTCCACAGCCTTGGCACTGACCTGTCCGTGTGTTCACTCTCTTATCCCAGAGGATAATAATCTGTTCCCAATTAGAACTCCCAGGACTGTGTTGTCCTCTCCTTATCTCCTTGTATTCTCCTTGTCTCTCCTGACCATTGCCCTTGCTGAGCAGTGATGCAGCATGGAAGCAAAATTAGTACTTTTATTATCATTAATCAGAAGAAAAATCCTTCAACATTTTAGCCCTAAACCTTGGGATAAAGTCACCATTTTGGATGTTTCAGGAAGCATCTAATTTAGAGATGAATCCTGAAATTACCTCAAAAGTCATCAGGAAGTTCTTGTCTGTTGCTTTTGAGCACAGATTGTTTTCATGATATGCAAAAAGGCTTTTTTTTATATTCTGTTTTGTAATCTTTTCTATCAAAGTACAGAAGGAACTGAAGGTTAAGGTGAAAGCAGGGAACATGTGGTTGTATTTTTTGTCAGAACATTCACTTTAAAAGTCAGAATTGTCCTGAAATCTGCCCCAGTTTGTGGGTCTTGGTGTCACTCTGCACCCACAGCATCCCAGCAGGGACACGAGCTGGGAGCGATTGCCTCACAGATAACAGTGTCCATGGGCTTATCTGCACTATAAACTGTTATCACTGGTATGTTTCAGAGTTGACAAAAGCTGAAGTGCAGGCCATGGTCATCTTGTTCTTCCTGGAGCCATGATCACAGAGTCATGGAATCACAGGCTGATTTGGGTTGGAAAGACCTTAAGGATCATCTCATTCCGCCCCTGCCATGGGCAGGGACACTTGCCACTAGCCCAGGGTGCTCCAAGTCCCATCCAACCCTTCCAGGGGTGAAGCAGCCACAGCTTCTCTGCCATCAATGCATCAGTTCATCCAAATTTCCTTTCCCAAAGCTTTTGTCCCTCTAAATGTCACATTTTTCAGCATACTTTCCAGTCTTTTGATAGCTGTGACTTTTCCAGGTGTCCTTCCATACAGCTGCAGGATACAGATTCCCGAGGGAATTTTCATGAAGACAACTCATCATTTATTGATTTTTGTGTCTGTTCTTTGGAGTCATTATAGAAAAAATCTCTGGAACCACCTCCCTGTGAGGCCATAGCCAGGGAGGACTGATCTATTCTTCACTTGGCCTGTGCTGAATACCCTTTCCTGAGCAGATCCTGTGGAGGGAAGTGTCTCTTTTGGACCAGCAGCTCCTCCCTGTCTGTCCAAACAGCTTCTTCTGCCCCTGACCGTTCACACCAGGTCCTGTTGTGAGCCCATGCTGAGTCCTGCTTGAATTGCTAGTTGATAAGGATTATGTCATTGTGGTGAAGGACGTTTGGGAACAAACACGAGTTCCAGTTCATACCAGTGGATTTGTGGCCCTGTGAGGCATTTTCCTTTCCACACAATGCAAAGGAATTCTGGAATCACACTCAGTTGCAGGCAGTGAATCCTTGGATTCGATTTTAGAGAAGTCAGGAAGGATGATCAGAATTCCTGTAAAATTGTGTGTGTAGAGAGAGATACGGAGACAGGGTTGAGAACTTGGAAGGAGAATTCCAGGGAGACACTTTCTCAGTTGTCTGGAGGTGTCTTAAATTGTACATCATGGCACTGGGGTGTGTGAAGAGTGAAAGCTCTCACCATGGCAGTGGTGTTGAGGTTCTGGAGCCCCTACACACTTCCAGGGAAGCCCTGAGCTCTTGGCCGTCAGTTGTGAGGGAGCAGAGCAGTGACACAGTGACACAGCTCCCCGGGACACTCACCTCAGCAGCTTTGGAGAGTCACCACACGCAGTGCAGTTTGGGTTTCACCCGCTTGTGTTTGCCTTGCAGCTCTGGCGTGAAAAGCTTGGAGGAGGTTTGCCTTCAGGTCACAGACCTCCTGCCTGGCCTGAGGAAACTGCGGAATCTGCTTCCAGAGCACGGCTGCCTGCTGCTGTCTCCAGGGAACTTCTGGCAGAATGACAGGGAGAAGTTCAATGCTGACCCAGATATCATCAAAACCATCCACCAGCATGAGCCAAAGACACTGCAGACATCAGCCACCCTCAAAGGTGAGGTGCTGCAGGGCCAGAGAGGCTGTAAGAATCACCTTCAGCTCCCACAGTTGTCCTGTCCTCAGCAATTCCTACATCAGCAGTGCTGATAGTACCAATTTGGGAGGTATTTTGTCACTCACAGCAGCTGAAATGTAGCTGTTCAGTCTGTGTCATATCTCATTTTACATCTCTGTGTGAGCTCAGAGCTTTATTTGTAGAAGAGGAATAATTCCACTCAGTCAGGCTCCTTTCTGCAGGTAAAAATAGAAATGTTTTTGTTCCTCTTACTCTAAATATGCTCCAGCCTAGCATTTCCCTCTACCACATTCACAGGTTGCCCCATTGTCACAGATAAATGAACATTCATCCTGCTCCCTAGTGTGCTCTGGGTTGGAAGGACCTTAAAGCCCATTCAGTTCCTTACACACAGTTCCTTGCACACAGCCTAAGTTGACAATGGATAACATAGGAGTATTTTTCTCCCTTAAGTAAAAAATAACCCAACTCTGATAATGTGTGAGATCATTAGTGGTTCCATAATGCCAGAGGAAATGCTGGTTTAAATGCTGGTTTGATCCTTTGGTTGTAAAGGAACTTTGTAGATGTCAGGAAGCAGATACTATCTATTATGTGTCTGAAAAGGGGTTTGTAACCCTAAAGTTTACTTTAAAGGTTATTTTTTGAGCATGCAGAGTGTGAGCTCAGTGTGGTTGGAGCACATGGAATCTCTCTGAGAGCTCATTCACAAGATGAGATGGAGGTAGAGTCATGAAATTATAGAATTATTGAGGTTAGAAAAGCCCTTGGAGATCATCAAGTACAACCGCTCTACTGCCAAGGCCGTTGGAGCACATGGAATCTCTCTGAGAGCTCATTCACAAGATGAGATGGAGGTAGAGTCATGAAATTATAGAATTATTGAGGTTAGAAAAGCCCTTGGAGATCATCAAGTACAACCGCTCTGCAGCACTGCCAAGGCCACCACTAACCATGTCCCCAGATGCCACATCCACAAAGCTGATAAATCCCACAGGTATGGTGACTCCACCTCTGCCCTGGGCAACCTGTGCCAGGGCTGGACAGACCTTTCCAGGGGGAATTTTCACTCAAACTCCTCACAACAAACCCCTGTTTTTTCCCTCTCCTGTGTGTTGTGTTGTGCCCTGATGACCTGTCATGTTGTATCTTGCAGACCTGCTGTTTGGGCTCCCCGGGAAGTACAGTGGGGTGAACCTCTACAACAGGAGGCGAGTGGTGTCCTACACTGTCACCCTGGGGCTGCAGCGCTATGATTCCAGGTGAGAAGCTGTACCTCAGCTCTTTCCATGCATCCCTTGATCAATTCTTGCCAAGTTTGCTGTTTGCTCCTTTCTGACATTGTCGTGTTTTTCTTTAATCTACATTTTCTTGTGCTTTAGAGCACATTGGATCTTCTGAAGGTGCCGTTTTGGGGAGAAAACTTGCTGTGTTTTAAAGAAATAAAATACTTTCAGTTCCTGTTGAAAAATATTATCCATAATATCCAGAGCTGCCAGTGGGAGTTCTGTGGCATCCAGGGCCCAGTGGGTCTGGTTTGACCCAGTTCCCTGTACATATACTGGTTTGCTTTCCACTAAGCACTGGTTCAACTGGTGGAACTGGTGAAAGCTCTTTGGCAGTGGTGGCAAAGCAGACGTGGATCAAGTGGATCCGAGGACTCAGTGTTGCACAGAATTCCCCAAGGGATGCTTGGGATGGAATTGGCAGCATGGTAGTCAAAACTTACTGTGCAGGAACCCTCAGCCCTAAGGGCTGTTGTGGAGCTCCTTTCATCAGCCTTTTTTACACAGAATCCTGTGATGCTATGAAAATGCAGGGAGTGTTTGAGAGCAGTGTGTTCTGCTCCCCGGGGCCCAGATTTTGGCTGAGGAGCCCAATAGTTTTGGTGTGTCTGCACAGCAAATCTTCGTAGAAATCAAGGTCTGTGTGGTTTGAGCCACAGAGGAAGAGGCTTAGGAGTGAGGCCT